GGTTGCGGCTGGTGCACATTTGTATTACACGCAAACAACGCAGTTCTACCCCCAGTCTCACTTGGCGCTCACATGGATCGATGTACATTCAACGGTGGTCGCGTGTACTTGACTCCTCTCACTCCGGAAATGTACGCCACCGCAGCCGCACGGAAGCGCACGTTAGTCGAAGCTGAGAAGGCCAGCCGTGAATTTTCCCAGTCCTTTCCCTTGGTTCGAGGTCATCCTTCTCCTGTGAAGTCGATTTCAAACCAGTCTCTGACCAAGGTCACCCCAGCTCCAGCATCGAAAAAAGTATGTATTTTATGTTTTGGTTGAAGAATGCGTAATAGGATTTTTCACAGCAGTGTCTTTATCTGTTTTTTTCAGGACTAACTCTTTTCTAAACTTCCCGTGGCTGGTTATCGAGATCTGTAAATTTTCGCTTAATCCCAGTTGATTCTTGGGCATACAATTTAGGAGTTATTCATTTATTCCTGACTTGAACTTGGAGCTCCATCTTTCCTTATCAACCACTGTCACCCAACCTTGAGATGAATATGTTTAGTAGACCATTCACTAGCATGTATCGATAGGATGCGGTGATAGGAACTAAATATTGAGATTTCAGAATATTCAGTGACATTTTTTTTACATGACTCATCGTGGCATGCAATTAACAGGATGCAATGTACTTAGATGTCCGTACGTTTCTATATTCCAGTGTTGGTGCTTTTTCTGATCACCTTTCCCGCATGTCCCCGTGTAATTTATGAGTAGAATACGGTCAGAATAGAAACCTAACTATATCTGCATTTGTTCTTACTTGTTGCGTCAGCGCAAAGTTGGTCAATTACCAACAAACTCTGCGACACCGACAGCAAAAAAGACCACCAAACCTCGTCCACCGCCGAAGCCGAAATCGAAAGTTCAGGTCCCTAAACCGGTTTCCGCCCCCACGGATGAGGGTACAGGTCAATTCGACGTCCCCTTGTCTCTTCCACCACCCCCGAAAACCGACTCAGAACATCTGCGGAAATCCACTACTCCAGCTCGATTGTACGTTTGTCCTTTGTGTGGTGACAACGCACTGGCTAGTCTTCGTGAACGAGATGAACATTTACAAGCATCCCATAATGGCGAGCTTGTGTTCCCCTGTCAGGTTAGTTGGATGCTGACCACATAGTTCAACGTTTTTCGTTTATTGGAGTCCTCGAAATCCTATATATATATATATATATATATATATATATATATAAAACCGAACCGTTCTGGTTAGAAAGATGATTGAACAACAATATTGTGAATCATCTGAAAGAGTGGTGGTAGCGCAGTGGTTTAGTCGCTGTCATCGGTGTGCTTGGGACCCTTTTGTCCGATGTTCCAGCCCCACCACTGCCACTCAACTTTGGTGGTAGGCTGCTTTGCTGTCTTCCGGTTCAATACTACTTTTAACCGCACACGAAAGTGCATGGTCATTGGTTGTTCAAACTAAACTGAACTGAACTTTGGTTTGGTGTGCCAAACACCTTGAGATTGGTAATCAATCAAATCACTAATTTCGTATCCACACGCATGACTCATTGGCCTTTGTTTTGCTAAATCGCTGCTAGTTTCCGAATGCCTTTTAATCACGTGTGTTTGTCCAAGCAAAATAGGTCGGTTAAATTGATTCTTCATATTGGACCAATTTGAATGGTTTTTCGGTACTTTGTTCCTCGATCCTACACAGATATGCGGTTTGGCTTACCCGTTGTATATTGCGTTGCGAAGGCATGCCGCACTCAAACACGAGTCCGACTTTGACACTGTTCGATACGGTAAACCGGAACTGTTAGAAACGGACTCGGTTGAATGCCCCCTGTGCAAACTAGTCGCATTCACGGATCGCGCCGTGCTTAAGCTGCACGTTGCGGAGGTACACAAAAAGAATCCGGAAGAGATTAAATTGCCGAGCAAGCACGGAGGTTCGTTGTTTGTTATCCTTTTTTATTTCAATGTGCGATTGGTACTGCTTTGGTTATCAGTAGATTTCCTCTTGCTAAGTGCCTTCTCTCCTTGTTTTAACAGGTATTTTTTTAATTTTTCTTGTAGCTGCAAGATAAAGAAACCCAGCTATGGAATTTGTTGAACTAATAATAGCCGGTTTGTGTGTGTGTGTGTGTGTGTGTGCAGGAGCACTTGGCAGAGTAGCAAGTTCTGTTGCTCCGTTCGGCATGCGCTTTGCACCTTCAAGATGCAAAGTGATGCTGCAGGACTGTGTCACCGAATCACGTTCTGAAACTAGATGTTTAGGAATTGGCTTGCGTTGACTGCTCGTACTTTGGTAGCTGCGTGACCAACGACGGTAGCGCATCTAAGGAGATAACCGCTCTCATTTCTAGGGCTCTAGCAGCGTACACAGGACTAAAACGACGTAATGTTTCACTGAAGGTGAAAAGTCGCATTGGCTGCCCAGCTGTACGATCAGCTTTTACGGTTTAAACCTTGAATTTACGGCAAGAAGAAATCTGTTGCCTAACAGTTTTCGGCAATTCATACCCACTCAGTCTGGCCTAGGTGGAATGAAGTGAATGGGTTAGTAACCTGGAAGTAAAAATCGTCAGGTGTTTGGGAATGCACTAAATACGAGCTCGCTATCGCATCGAATTCAGCTCGATAGGCTCTGTTGGTTAGGAAACGCTTTGCGTATGTCCGACGGTTACTTACTGCACCATGCCTTATTTTCAGTGTCCGCTCCAGACTGGAGAAAGCCACATGGAGGCCAGCGGATGATATGGAGACGAGGCTTGAAGAAATGTACAGAGCGATTAGGCAAAGTAGGTGTCTCTTCCGGGTTGGGGGTTGGTCATAGCTGCAAACCGACAGCAGTGGCGATCTTGCTGTCGCTTTCAATCAGACCGGAATGCTTCAAATAGTACGTATGCACAGTTGACCTATGCTCTCTGTGTTGACCATACGGGTTCGATTTCTTTTCCCGTCCCGCAAAATAAGCCCAATCCCTATCCTCGTCACACATTCTCACTCACGTTGTATACATTGTGAGTTTGGCAGCGATCAGTGAGGTTCTCTTCACTGTGTTACGCCGTACAATGATGGTGATGATGAGCATTCCAATCGACTAAAATCACGATATCAGCCCGGCCTGCTTTATGCGGTTTTCAGTTGATATATTGACCTACATTACAGTTGTACTATACAGTCAATCTGTCAGTCGCATTTTTCGCCAGTATATTTCTCCCGTCTTTCACCATACTGTAGCTCGTGGTGGAAGCAGGAAAGGAAGTCGGCGAAAGAGCAAGTATGGGGATCATAACGACGGTGCGGCGTACGCAGTCAGCAAGAACCCCCAACCAGTTGTACTCAGTCGCTTGGAGCAATTATTAGCCGGTGTTCCCGGCGACCCAGCTCCTGTCAGTTGCCGCATATGTCACACCCAGATGGATAACGCCAAGGAATTCCTGTTACATCTGGAATTGGTACGTGCGTAATGCTAGAATTGTATCAGATACAAACTTTTGTTGAATTTGCCGTTTATGTTTTTGGTTTTTCCGCTATATTTTATTTCTTCGAGGGTTTTTTCTTGGGTTTGCAGTCGTTTACGGGAAGCGGCATTCTGTCCTGCCCCCACATTCAACCAATGACATTTTGAACAGAGTGATCAATAAAGGTAGTCTTGTAGTAAATATCAACTACAATGTCAATTGCATGCTGTGATTGAAGCGGGCAGCAATGCGTTTTTTAGTTGAGTAGTAAGTCCATTGTCATCCTGTCCTCATTGCGCGTACCCGGCATAGATGGTTGAGCCGGAAGTCACAGAAATTCCGTATTTAGTAGCAGATGTGGCCGATTTCAGGCTCAAACGGGGTGACAGCAACATTGGCTACCATCAAAGTGCTGAGACTAAAGTTCTCTAACCCACTTTTTAGCTGTTGACACCGCCCGTTAGCTTCCTCATAGATGATTACTCTTGTTTTCACTCACCATTTATCAAATATAGTGTTATTTCCCTTGACTAATCTCTGATATTAAAAAAAACATTTCAGCTCTCAAATAATGTCCTACGAATTGTGTCTAAAATTTGCGCGCCAGGGCTTGCCCTTATCGTCCGCCCCCCCCCCCAATATAACATGTTTCCCAGTTGTTGGGAAACCGTTCACATTTCCTTTTCTTAACAAGGTGCAAGCAAACAGTTATCACCTTCGCATCGTTCTCTAAATTGATGAAACTAATGATTGTGGAATAACTTAGCGGTCACTTAGAACGTCGCAAACTGTGCAGCAGCCGCCTCAGATCCGCTGTCTACCTGTTTGCATGCATGCAAGTCACGCATTTGGTCTTGCCCGGTCAATGACCATAGTGAACCGCATATGGTCTCCCTCAATATCTCCCACGTGTCTGACCCAATTTGGCTCCGGGTGTAACTGATCATGTTTTGTCTCTCACGGATGCGAAGCTTCCCTCTGAACCGTCCCGTTGCGGTTCTTGTTCATGAAGTCCTTTCGTGAACAGTTCAAGTAAACTCCGGTGTTCCACAAAATTCCGGCCATCCCCCCCTCGCTTCATCGATAACCTTTTTTAATCCTAAACTTCATCCTATCCATGTCTTTTCCGCGGGGAAGCAGCGAGTAAGGCTTTCTTGGCAGAGGCTGTTTGAGAGACACTTCATCTTATAAGAGCAATTCACGTGGGAAAGCGATGAGTGATTAGTCACACGATCTCAGACCCACTCCCGATCATACTGAGGTCTTTTGCCCATGTAGCCGCCCTACACTGGTCTCTGTCTCACAACACTTCTCGTGCTTCCTCTGTCATCCTCGGCTGGGACGGATTGTGTGCTTGTGCTTCTCTCAACTGTTGCTGTTTATGCCAAATCGTTTTCAACGACTCTGAGACCTAATGTATATATGATTTACAAGCTTAGTTTTTGTGATCCTAATGTGCATTTTGACTCTTATTCAGTCCGTTCCACATCTATTTCTACTTGGCCTTCAGTTTTCGTCTCTATATTGGTCTTTTCAATTTTCCGAACTCATTGCGTGGATGCCAGAATATTTTCTACCCCTTACGTATAAAAGATTTTTTCCCCCACGTACCAACTTTTCACTTTACTGAGCCCCAATTGGCCTCACTGTGGAATATTGAGGCTATTTTTGGGACACCGCACTTTTGAACCGTGTTCAGCTCAAAACCATTGACCTTGTCACCGATCGCTCCTTGACATCCACTTTTCAGTCACATCGTTGTTCGATAAAGCTTTCTATTTAATCCCCCCTCCACTCACTTACGGTCGAGACCCCTTCATAAGTGTTAAGTCACCTTTACCGGGAAAGTTCGAAATACAAGACAAACTGAGTTTTAAGGGAGGACCAAATTTTCTGGTTGTATTTACCACTCGTCTTCATTCAGTGGTGTATAATTTCCTGCAATAATAATAACCGCAAGTTGGATTTATTCCCCAGGATCACGTGGAAACTGAGGAAGAATGTGAACAGCTTGGATGTCAGGCATGTGGTCGTATTTTCTTCGGTCCAGGTGGGCGCATTGACTTGATCGGACATTTGCGTGTGTGTCACCAGGACACGGATCAGCCAGACGCGCTTCCATGCTTGCAGGCTGAGAAGATACTGGAACAAGAGGATGAAACTCCGACTAATAGCCCCAAAAACAAGAAGACCGATGAATCTACCAAAACCGAGCCAGTTGGGCCCACCCGACCATGCGATGCAACTTTTTCGTCGCCGCGGTTGCGTCAGTTGCACTGCTCCACTTCATCGGAAAAGCATCCGGGGTTCGCCTGTCCGTTAACTGTGGAATTATCTGAAGATCAGGAATTAACCAGCTTAACGGACCAGATTCGGGCGGCGATCATGGAGACGGAGGTTGCTGCTGACCGCGAAGGTCTAATGATTCTGGCTTACTGTTGTCCCAACTGTTCACGCCTGTTCGCCGGAAGTCAGGCTCCATCAAGGTGAGTATCGTTTTTTATCCTTTCTTTTTTCTCATACACTTGGGACCAAACAACGAATGCACTTATCCATCAACATCGCTTTTTCTTACCATAT